ATGGAGTTTAGAGAAAAGAAATGAGAACTAAGTGAATTTACACGACGTTTTTAAAGCGAAAGACTTATCTGTTAATAGATTTGATAATTTATTATTTTCTTTCTTTAGAATTAATTCATGAGACTAGTTCTTAGTTATCATCGAATGGATAAAATTCCAAAATAATCCAATGCTAACAACATCTTCTCCAAAATTGTTTCCATATTTATGTATGTTCTTTCCTCATGTTTCCTTTTTATTAGCTTATTATCAACCTTATTTCTCTTAAAAATAAGATCGATGTGCCAATATCCTTATCCTACTCGACTTTACTAACTTAATATATTTTATCCGTAAACCAAAATATTATATAATGTATTTGGTTCAGTACTTTATTGGCACTTTAGTATCTTATTGGTTCACTGATACATATAATGTATTTACTTAACCGATAATGAAGTGTGTTAGTAAAAAAAAAAACCAAAATGTTATAACTTAAAGTGAATATTTTCACCGACTCTTTTAATTTAAAAACAATCGTTCGAAGCTAATAAATACTATAAAAAATGTTATGAAACTATCATGAATTTTAAAATTTTTGAGAGATTTATGTTGGAACTACCAAAATCATTCATCGTAAAATTTAGTTATGTTTATAACCACGTATGGTTGATTTTGTATACCGCTGTTGTAGCGTTGTATCAACTCTTGAGTTCGATTTAATATCAATGAGTAAAGTAGATGTTAAAAAACATGTAAAAACAACTTAACAGAAAAACCTAAAAAACAAATTTTACCATTAAAACTGAGATTCCATGACGAATATTGGAAACAACGAGATCATTCAAAAAACTATATATTCGACAATAGTCGTTGTTACTAGCATCCGTTAAGAGCCTTAAATATATTGTAACTCAAAGCGGCGTTGATTGGCAATTCTATATCAACATTCGCCATTCGGCATAATTTACGCCATTCGAACTAGTCAAAATTCGTAAAAACAATTAATGTAAATTTTAATTTCTAAAATATATTTGT